CTTCCTTCCTTCCTTCCTCCCTCCCTCCCTCCCTCCCTCCCTCCCTCCCTCCCTCCCTTCCTTCCTAGTGCTGGGATTAAAGGCATGTGTGCTTCCCAAATACTTGGTAGCAAGGCATGAGATCTCAAGTACTGGAATTAAAGGCATATGCCACCATGCCTGGCTCTGTTCCCAGTGTGGCCTTGAACTCACAGAGATCCAGCTCTGTCTTCCGAGTGATAGGATTAAGGATGTGTGCCATCACTGTCTGGCCTCTATGTCTAATCTAGTGGCTGGCTCTGTCCTCTGATCCCCATATAAGTTTTATTGGGGTGCACAATATATCACCACACAACAGTAATATTTCAATTATACAGAGTGAGGACTGATACTATAACTACTGAAACATCATCTCCTAAGGTCCTAAATGGAACAAACTAATATGAAAAACCAAATTTCTACCATCTAATACAACCTACAACTCCATGGAGATAAATGTTCTAAGAGGAAATAATGTGCATAAAGATAATATTCTTTCACTTAAAACCAATGGACATCATACACTAATTTTATCTTTGTATTAAAAAACACAATAAATTAGATGTGGTGGCTGATGCCTATAGTCTCATTACTCAGGTAAGCTGAGGCAGGAAGCTACCTAGGCTACATACAGATCAAGAGCATCTCAATGCCCAAACAAGAAACCAGACAGCAACAACAATAATCTTTAAACAGTGAAAGCATTTTAAAAGCACCCTTTATTCATGTATAAAAACTATGTATTAAACCAGGTCCAGCTATCAGCACCCTTTATTCATGTATAAAAACTATGTATTAAACCAGGTCCAGCTATCAAGAGGACGTGGAATTCAGGGCCAGTCTGGGCTACCCTTGTTTCAAATAGTAACACCCTTTCCCACATCTGGGTGTTCTACCATTTTCTTAAAAGGTAGCTTTAACAAAAAGTAGGGGATGGTACTGGCACACATCTGTAGTCTCAGAACTTGGAGAGGTGGAAACAGGAGACAATCAGTTGAGGCTAGCTCACTCAGTAGGTCGGAGGCCAGTCTGCTCTATATGAGATCCTATCTAAAACCAAACAAACCAAAAACCAAATAGTACCATCAACAATGTGAAAGCTGAGTATGGTGGCACATACCTATAAATACCAGCCTTCAGGAGGTTAATGCAGAACTGCTTTGAATTCTAGACCAGCTTATAATACAGAGACCCTTTATCAAAAACCAAAACAAAGACAAACATAGTTAAATGTAAAAATTTCAGTTAGCTTTTCTTTTTATTTTGGAATAAACTTATTTCTCCCTAGTTTTATTAAGGTGTTGTAAGAAGCTCTGATTGTGTAAGGTCCTAATCGAATGTGTGTTGTTGACATAGGTTTGTCAGACACAGCCCATCAGGACCCCATAGCCTCAGGCTCAGAGGGAAGAGTGTGAGTTTTGACAGTGTGCGCAGAAAATTCCACCATAGCTTTCTTCCCCTGGGATTTTTATAGCCTGAGGACGGTTCCGATACAGCCACTATCATTACCAAGATTAGCCAAACCTGTCTCCTTGATCCAGTCGTACGGCAGAAACCTTGCCTCCTTGTTTATCTGTATGTAATAACCCCTACTCCTTGCTCTGCTGTATGCAATAGCCCTGCCTCCCTGTTCAACTCTATATAATAAATTCGTTGAGCTTCTAGGGTACAGTGGTTTCTCCATCAGAGATCCCAGTCCACCCAATCCTAGCAATTTGTGTGTCCATTATTTGCCTTTTCTTCATCCCTCACTGTCCTAGCCAGGTCTGTCCCTGGAGCCCTGCAAGGACAGAGCAAAGGTATAATTGAGTAATAAAAGTTAAGTATACTTACAACATAGACAGTTTTGATACATGCATATACTGTTCGATGACTGAAACTATCATGTTATCTATCAATGAAAACTAATTTTAGGGTGGGCAAAATGGCTCAGTGGGTAAAAAAAAAAGCCCCTGATGACCTGAGTCTGATCTATGGAAACCTACAGTGGAATGAGGCCAACTCCAGACAGTTGTCCTCTGCCCTCTAAATATGCATTGTGGCACACTTCTGTCCATACTCATGCAATGCATAAACATAATGATAAATAAAGTAAGGCCAGCAGAGATCATATACATAGACACTGTCTTAAGGAGCAAAAAAACTGCTTGGTGTGGTGGCCCAAGCCTATAATTCCAACAGGGTAAGATAAGATGGTTATGAGTTCAATTCCAGGCTGGGCTACACACACAGTGAGTGAGTTTGGGTCAGCTTGGGCTACAAAGTCTTGTGTCTAAAACAAAAACAAACAAAGACATTAAACCAATAAACATACCCACATTTAAAATTGTGAGCACAAAAGATCTATACCACTAATATTTTAGTTACATTATCACTAACTGTAATAACTAGAATTAACATATATATAGGTAATATTCCATTTACCTGTACTTTCTCCCCCAAGTAATCTTCTAACAAGTAACTCATTTGCTGTTGAGTGAAAGCCACTTAATGCAATCTACACGACTAGGCACACTTTCGGGAAAAAAAAAGAAATGAACTTAAAATGACTACAAGAAGTTACCAGACCTAATTCCAGAAACTTGGCTACAAAATGCTCATACATCTGTGCAAGTGAATTTGCAGAACTAATTTCTTTAGGTAGTCTCAGGTTTAGGTAATATTTGATTTTTAACTTTTTTTTTTTTTTTTTTTGGTTTTTCGAGACAGGGTTTCTCTGTATTTTTAACATTTTTGTATTTCATTTGTTATTGGTTTACTTGGTTCTTGTGTTTCTTGTTGTTTTGAGCCATGTCTCATGCAAGCCTAGGCTGCCTTCAAACTCACAGCAATCCTCATTTCTCAACTGCCAAGTACTAGGGTTACAACAGACATAAACAACCACAAGTATGTTATTGTAAATAGTTACTTTTTTTTTTTTGAGACAGGGTCTCTGTAAGAGCTGGTTTTATGTGTCGACTAGACACAAGCTGGAGTCATCAGAGGAAGGAGCCTCAGCTGAGGAAATGCCTTAATGAGATCCAGCTGTAAGGCACTTTCTCATTTAGTGATCAATGGGGGAGGGCCCAGCCCACTGTGGGTGGTGCCATCCCTAGTCTGCTGGACCTGAGTTTTATAAGAAGATGGGCAGCTCCCTTCCCTGGCCTCCCCATCAGCTACTGTCTCCAGGACCCTGCCCTGTACGAGTTCCTTGACTTCATTCTGTGATGAACAGCAATGCTGAAATATAAACCAAATAAACCCTTTCCTCCCCAACTTGTTTTTTGGTCATGGTGTTTTGCCACAGTAATAGAAAACCTAACTAAGACAGCGGTGGCTGGCCTCAGCCTCCTGAGGACTGGGATTCATAGGTGTGTTCGACTACACTCCACTCTCACATGGTTAATGGTACTGTGTTTGAGACAGCACCTCATGTAGAGCAGGCTAGCCTCAGACTCATACCTAAGCCTAGCCTGAACTCCAACTCTCCTGCTTCCACCTTTCAATTCAGAGGGATGCACCTGCCTCTACCTCTTCATGCTAGGATTAAAGGGATGCACTGCCATGCCTAGCAACTGTAAATTTTATTAAGAAACTTTATTGTCTAAGTCAGTGGTTCTCAACCTTCCTAATGCTATGCTTAAATACAGTTCCTCATGCTGCAGTGACCCCCCCATCATAAAATTATTTTGTTGCTACTCTCTAACTGTAATTTTGTTACTATGAATTGTAATGTAAATATCTGATATTCCACCCTTCTGAAAGGATATTTGATCCCCCAAAGGGGTTTCGACCTATAGGTTGAGAACCACTGGTCTAAGTAAAGAAAACTCTGGGCCTAAAGTTCTTACCCCTGGAAGAGAAACCAGTGTTCCTACTGGCTTAGCCATCTCTTCAGCCCCAACTCAAACAAAATTTTAAAACCCCAAATCAAATATTAAGCAGCTATCACCCAAAATATTATTATGTAACATATCAACAATGCTAGAAATGACTCAGCAAAAAGCTACACTGGTACTTGTTTAGATGCACTTACTAAGCATTTATTTTCTGCCAGTTAAGACATTAATTAAGACATCTGTTTTCATTTCAGGCAAGGTACTGATATTTCTGTTTCATGTAAAAGGAAAATAAACATGTGACTTCCCTAACCTAACCAAAGTAATAGTCAACAGAGGAAGGATTTAAGTTAAAAACACTGAAAAATGACTGAGGCTTAGAGACATACCTTAGTTGGTAGTATGCTTTCCCAGCATGCACAAAATCCTGGGTTTCATCCCCAGCACCACCTGTAATCTCAACATTCAGGAGGCAGAGGACCTCCACAACTACCTAGCTTAGTTCCAGGCCAGCCTAAGCTACATGAAACCTATCTTATGAATGCCCTCCCTTCCATCCCACTCCAGCCCACCCTGGGGGGGGGGGGGGAACCCTATGAAATAAAGTCTTGCTAGGTTTGGGACCTTGTCTCAAAAACAAAATAGGCTAGGCATAGTGACTATACCTGTAATCCCAGCATTTGGTAGGTTAAAGCAGTAGGATCACCAAGAGTTCATGGGATATAGGGCAAGATCTTGTCTTGAAAAGACTTTCCTACCTAAATAAATAAGACATTTCAATTTTGTGTTCCGTTGTCCTTTTTTGAGACAGGATCCCACTGTGTCACAGCCACTGGTCTGAAACTCTCAGTCTTCCCTCTTCAGGTTCTAGAATGCTGGAATGATAAACCTGGCCACCCCATTTAGCTTGTTTTTCAAAGTTTTCCCATTAAATACTCTTTTAAGCCCCCAAACCATGCTTGATAATAAGTTTATAGAAATTTCAGAATAGCTTAAGGGTACAATACCTTGTTTACAAACAAAAATATTTTAAAGTCCAAGGTCTGCTGAAAGTTTTTTTTTCCTTCCCTGTATGATCTACTTAGCTCTTCAAGATCACATTTAGAACAAATATTTATTAATGTATGATTCAGTTAAATGATTAAAAGAAAATAACAATCTCACCCCCAATGGTACTCTCTTGAAATTCATGAAACTGGCCCTTCACAAAGCGAAGCACCAGGCTTGATTTGCCAACAGCAGACTCTCCTAGAAGTACCAGTTTGAACTGGCATATTTTATTTCCAGTATTTGGCCCGTTGGGTCTTGTTGCTCCTCGATTAGCCATGTCCAAATTTGAAAGAAGTCCCTAATTTCAAATTCCTAAATGAACTTCCAGGATGCAAGGTATCAATTTTGTTTTCTTTCTGTAGAAAATACCTGTGGAGACACAAATAATAATTAAATAAACAAATCAAAACTAAATAAATGAGTATTAGTCACTTAATAAGTTTAATAATAGAGTATTATAATGACAAGTAGACAGCCAAGGTCATTTAGTTTATTTCAGCACTTTTCAAGGGAAATAATGGTACAAGATTTGAACTAAAATCACCTCAAGTTAACCTTCAACAGAAGGGTGAGAAGTCTAAAAAAAGAGGAAAGTAACAGAATCTATATGTCATGAAAGCAAAAGGGAGACAATCTGCAGAGAGGAAGGGGATGGGAGAAGACAGGGAAGAACGACACAAATGAAAACATCACCTGTAACCCACATCTTTGTATGTTAACCAAAAAAAAAAAAAATTAATAAAAGGAAGAGGCAAGCTTTCAGCAGGGTGTGATAGCAACACCAATTCCACTGTGGGAAGGCTGAAGCAGGAGCTCAAGCCACAAACAACATATAAGACCTAACTGCAAAACACAACAACTAACCTTTAACAATTTCACTTTGGGGCTAGGGACTGGGATAGTGCTTGCCCAGCAAACAGCAGGCTCTAGGCCAAATAAATAAATAAATAAATAAATAAATAAATAAATAAATAAATAAGAAAGAAAGAAAGAAAGACTTGGCTTTGTGCCAGTTAGTATTTTAAGTATTTAATACAGTCACTCAACAGTATCAAGTACTCTTACAATTCTTTTTTTTTTTTTGTGGTTTTTCCAGACAGGGTTTCTCTGTAGCTTTGGAGTCTGTCCTGGACTAGCTCTGTAGACCAGGCTGGCCTCGAACTCACAGAGATCCACCTGCCTCTGCCTCCCGAGTGCTGGGATTAAAGGCGTGCGCCACCATCGCCCGGCAGGCTGGCTTCTTATAAATGAGGAAACAGGTACCAAAAGGTTAAGTAACTTCATTGAGATCACAGAGCAACTGTGACAGAGCAACTTGAGAGGTCAATCAAGAATTCAGGTTGTGGGCGCTGGAGAGAGAGCATCTTAGCCTGAGTACTGCTATTCTAGGTGACTGGAGTTCAGCTTATAGGGTGATTCACAACCACCTGCAACACCAGTTCCAGGTTATATGACATCCTCCTCTGGACTTCTTGGGCACTGGCATTCACACGTACACACCCACAGACATAAAGGTAACTTTAACCACAAAAATCTTTAAAATGAAGAAAAGAAAATCAGGTTCTTACTGTCATACTACTTGGATTAAAATTATTTGAAGAAAATTATGCTAGTAAATGGAAAGCTTTTAGAACAAATCCTAGAGTTTACTATTTGAAGGTCTCCACTAAATGATACATTTTTCATTTAATAGTAATTCCCAAACACCAAATATTTTTTAACTCCCAAGTTTGTATGGCTGGCTGATAAGGATTTCTCTATTTGGTAGGATTAGGAGCCTCGCAGTGGTGGCACATGCCTTTAATCCCAGCACTTGGGAGGCAGAGCCAGGTGGATCTCTGTGAGTTCAAGGCCAGCCTGGTCTACAGAACAAGATCCAGGCCAGGTACCAAAACAACATAGAGAAATCTTGTCTCGAAAAAACCAAAACAAAACAAAAAAGAAAAGGATTAGGAGTGATCTATTTACTTACAGTAATTTTGGGGGGTAGTTTTTGGGCTAAAAATATGTGTATTATCTGTTTAACATTGCATTTGAAAAAACCTGAATGGCAGTCTTCTCCCCTCCTCTTTAGACAGGGTGTCACAAAGTAGCACAGGATGGTAATCTTCATACTTCAGGCTCTTAAGATCTGCACCAAGACATCCAGCTTGTCTTTAATCTCAGTAGAACCAGCAAATATTTAAAACAGTCTTTTCAGTTTACAAGTCAACTTGGACACTTTAGTCCAACCTTTTATCAATATATGGAACATGGATGGGGCAAGCCTGTAATCCCAGTACCCAAGGACCTTGAGGAAGGAGGGCTGTGAAGTATTATTTAGGCTAGCCTGGGCTACACAGAGTCCTTGTTTCAAAAAAGAAGAAGAAATATCACTGAGTAAGGCCCTTGCAGTGTAAGCTTGGGTTTGGATCCAGGGAACCATGTATAGTGAAAAGGTGAGGACCAAGACCTGAGGTTGTCCATTTGATCTCCACACAAATGCTGTGGAATGCATACACCTTCACACAGAAACACATACACACAATCACACACATAAACTAAAATAAATGTGGTTTAAAAGCTTATTAAAGCCGGGCGGTGGTGGCGCACGCCTTTAATCCCAGCACTCGGGAGGCAGAGCCAGGCGGATCTCTGTGAGTTTGAGGCCAGCCTGGTCTCCAAAGCGAGTTCCAGGAAAGGCGCAAAGCTACACAGAGAAACCCTGTCTCGAAAAACCAAAAAAAAAAAAAAAAAAAAAAAGCTTATTAAAAAACAAAACAAAACAAAAAACGTACTAAGGATTTCTTCCCTAAAAGAAAATTCTCTGCCCCAAAGCTGCTACATTTAATTTACACTTCAAGTAAGAAATTTATATTTCCCCATAAAACTTGAGTTGATACTTGAAACACTCTTGATAATGGCTAATTCACTGATAAATATATCCATAAGACCTTCGTGTTATTTTTGTTGTTGTTGTTTTAAAACAAGGTCTCTCTATGTAATCCTAGCTGTCCTAGAACTCAGAGAGACTGATCCCTGTCTCTACCTCCCAAGTGCTGAAATTAAAGGTATACATCTCCAAGCCCAGCTTAGATTTTAAGATACCACCTCTTGGCGTGATCTAGTTAATACCTTTGAATGTTCCTTATCTTTATCAATAAATACTGACACATTTACAGATAAAATGATATTTGAGTTGCTTCTAACCAACAGAACACAAAACTATCATTCCAGCCTGGAATGATGGAGCTTGCCTGTGGTCCTAGCACTTGGGAAGCCAAGATAAAAACATGTCAGTCAGAAAGGCATAGCAAGGCCTTGTCTCAAAACAACAGATATGGTTGCTGGTTGTTGTTGGTGTACTCCTTTAATCCCTGCACTAGGGAGGCAAAGGCAGGCAGATTTCTGAGTTCGAGGCCAGCCTGGTCTACAAAGCCAGTTCTAGGATAGTCAAGTCACACACAGAAACCTTGTCTCAACCCGCCCCCACCCCCTACAGAGACTTGGCAGTCCAAGATTGTAATGCCAGCACTCATGGTCCAAAGTAAGGTGGATGAATCTGAGTTCCAGGACAGCCTGGTCTACAAAGCACGTTTCAAGCTATCCAGACCTACGCAGTCAGTGCTTGTCTCTAAATAAATAAAATTCCCATTTCTCCTCAACCCACAAAACCACACTGAAGTCTATTCCTGGATATGCCAATTTCTGCCAGAGCAAAGTTTTAATTTCCAAATCTCAATCTCCATTATATTCTAACATTGCATAGCTACTGTGAGAATTAAGTAAGACAACCCACGTAGTCTCTAATACAGTACCTACTAATACTAAGTACACAGTGTTTGAAATTGGCAGTTTAAATGGCCTCTTGGTGAGATAATGCTGTAGATCAATAGACTGTCATACAGACCTTCAGATACATTTTCAGCCTAAACGTTTACCAATAGTTCCTTACCTACAAAACAAATGACTTATCCAGGACAAAACTGTGAATGTCCACGGTACTTCCAAAATTTCAAGGAAACATCTGATTCTCACAGAAAAACTGAACAAAAACTTATACTTAGTTTTGCTTTTTGAAGTACTCCCTCCCCTCCCCACCTCATTTTTTTGAGACAGAGACTTGTAGCCTAGGCAAGCACAGGGGTAAGTTAGGGATAGCCTAGAACTCCAGATCCTCCTACCTCAGCTTCCAGAGTGCTGGAATGACAGATGGGTGCCTCCATATTCAGCGCCTTTTAAAGTTCAAAGCTACTGAATCTTTACTTCCAAAGACCTCAAACAGGAAATAAGTCAAATTATAAACATACACACATTGACCATGATATTAATGTTAAAAATTAAGTGCAAGGACTGGGAGTAGCTCAGTAGAGCCCTTGCTCAGCACACAGATGCTCTGAGTTCAACCCCTGGCAAAACACACACACAGAAGCTCGATACATGCAATCCTTTGTACTCACTGCTTGTACTTCTTATCCCGCAAAACAAACTTTTGCATAATATGTATCTTAAATCTTGAAAATGGTAATTATTTTATACAGTTCTTATCTTTGATTTAAAAAATTACTGAGCCCTTAAATTGTGCCAGGCACTGTTGTCTGTACTTGCTGACAACCCTACGGGTTCAAATTTTACATTAAAAATGATCCGGCCAGTCCTGAGTATACCGAGAGACGTACAGAGTTTTTTGTTGTTTAGTTACCTGCAAGGCAACTGATTCAGCACTTTGAATCCACTTCAGCTAGACAAAAACTAAACATGCCAAGTGTGACAGTCCGAGCTTTAAACTTCTGGAAGTGTCAGGATGTTAACCTGCTTGCAGAGAACCCCGCGGCTTCGGTTCACCATCTCCCACGGAAGAGACAAGAAGATCCCACCATTCGCATAGCTCGGCCAAGCCAGTCAGAGGTAGGCGGAGCTCCCAAACCCCACCTGCTGTAGGCCTGGATTCCCGGAGCACTCGAGAACCAACTCTGGGTGTCAGGGCCAGCAGTCCGGCCGAGCCCTGAAGCTGTGCTCCTAAGCCACCCACTCACCTCCGACACGGCCCGGCCAGGACTGAGACCCCAGAACCGGGCCGGATACCGCCGCGGCCCACGGCGCCATCTTGGGAAGAGGGTGACACCCGCCTCTCCCTCAGCGGGTCCCGGCATCCCAGGCTCCAGAGCTGAGGCCCGGCAGAGGCTTGGAGACCCGGGCACAGCCCGGGGCCGAGGGGACGCGCCCCGACGGCGGCTTACCTGGGGCGCGGCTCCCGGCAGCGAGTCCACGCACGGCCCGGAGATGGGATGCGCCGCAGCTGCAGCGGCGTCGCCTGCTCGCCGCTTCTCACACTGGCCGGCGCGGGGCTCCGAGCGCCGTGCCGCCCCTGCCGGGCTGCGTCTCCGCCTCTCCGCTCCGCCTTCCTCTCTCCTCCTCCGCAGTCGCCGCACTAGAGTTCCTACGACTTCTTCCTCCTCCTCCCTCCGTCTCCTCCCCTCAGGCGGCCAGGCTCCTTCACAAACCAAAACACAAACACGCAGGGTCCAGCGAAGAAACTACTTCCGCCGGCTCCGCCACGTAGCCGCACGCAGCGAAGTACGCCGTGTGGTCACTTCCGCTGTCGCCCCTTCCTAGGGGCCCGGCAAAGGCCTCCTAAGGGGCGGGGCCGGCGCCACGTGACCTCACCAAGCGCGATCTTGCCCCCGCCCTCTGCCTGTCCGCTAAAGGCGACGGGTCGGGCCCTCGCAAACGCCTTCTTCATCTGAGTAGACATCTTTCTCGGCTCTGGCTGCCCGGCCGGTCGGAGCGTCAGGAATGAAGGGGGCGGGCTTGTATCACGTGTTTTCGCCAGCAGCCGGGGCCCGGCCTCCTCAGATCCTTGCTCGGCCTTCTACGGGCCCCGCCCTCACTAGCGCCATTGTTATCTGGGCGGGCATCGCTCTGCGCCGGCTGTGAGCCTGAGGGGCGTGGGCCAGACCTGAGTCACCTGGGTATCTTCAGGACTGGCGCCTTAGTCCTCATCGCCATTGTCGGCTAGGCGGAGGTACTGGCAGCCTCACTTCCATTGTGCCGAGATTCGCTCCGAGGATTCACTCACAGGCCTCACATCACTTAATCATAGCAGTTGAGGGAGTGGTCCTTCGCCTGGTGGGGATTAACAGCAGCAGTACAGCAAAGGAGTTTAGGCCAGGGGCTGGTGTGTCCCTGGAAATGGTGTGTCGGTAATTTCGGAGAATCAAGATTCTTTCCGTTCAGAAGCTGACTTTATACAACAAACCTCAAAAGAATAACTCGCTTTTATTGATGGTTTACCTGTGTTTCATAAGGAGTGGAAAGGAGCAAACGCATTAATAATTGCGTTTATTCAGAATTTACCTTTGAACTAAGTACTAAACACTTTGGAGTCCGCTTTTCTGAAACCAACATATTGCCATTTTAGGATCAGACACACCCCCAACCCATTGATTCACACCTTTACAAACCCGTGTCTAGCAACGCCCCCGGCAGCCAGGAGTTTTCGTGTTTGTGGAATGAATGAGGGAGGCAAGCAAGTAACATGGCCAAGATCGCTGTCTGTCTGGTGATGAAGATTCTATGCTGCAGCTGGCTCCAGAACACTACTTTTTAAATTTCTAGTGAACAGCAGCCCAAGATGTTCATGGTTCCCCACAGCACACCTATTTAAAGCATTCTGTTAATCCTCACACTGTCGGGTCCGAAAGAAACTCCACTCCCCCAAATTCTGACACCTGTTTCCCTAGACCAAAAGGAGGTCACCACTAGAAGGGACAAATGGCTATCAATGGCGCCTATTAGCTTAGGGAAGCACATGCTAGTCTCCAGGCTGACTCAGTATCTGTGGCTCTGCTAGGCTCTTCCCTCTCCCAGTTTCTCATTCCCATATAATCCTATTTTGGCCATGCTCTCCCCTTTGTCTTCCTCCCCTCTCTTCTTGGTCTCCTTAGCCCACACTCTCTTTGTCTTCCACTCTCATTAACCACATCCCCACCTCCACCCCATGGCCTGGTTCAGTCTAGCACTTTCTCTCCCTGCTCTGGACTTACCCAGGTGCCTCTGTGGTACTTTCCCTTATATCTACAATAAAAACCTTCTCTTAAACTATACCTTGGAGCGGTCATTTCTCACTTAATTCATTTGGTGACTAAAACCAGGAGGGGCATAGATGAGCCCCCTCCCAAGCGGCTCAGCCTCTCCTTACCGAACTAAGCTGCTAATTTGGCTCTCCTAAAGTATGTATGGATCATTTGTTTCTGCTGGCTTCTGACACTCATCATATTTGACTCTGAATTCTAGAATCCATCTTCTCAGCTACTTCTTCCCTCCACCTGCTCTAACCATTTGTCTCTCGACCACTTGGTAAGTGTCTTCTCATTCTCTCTGGCTCCTGGAGCCTGTTACATTTTCCTGGGCGCCTGTCACCTGGGCATCTCTACTAAGAAACTTTCTCCTCTGCCTCTGTTGGAACCCTCCCTTTCCCCAAAGCCTCTCCTAGTCCACGTCTTTAGCTCTTTTTCTCCTAACTGCTCTAACCATTTGTCTGCCCTTCTCTACTTGGAAAGTGTCACCCTGGAGCTTCCTGCTTTGTTTCTGTTAGACTATTACAAAAGACACACCAGTGTGCCAAAAGCTCCTCTTGCCCTCCTGGGCCTTTATCATGTGGAAAGTGGTGCCTGTGCTCTGTGATTTGGGACATTTCTAGTTGGCAAGTCTCTCAGTCCTCTTGGGAACACTCTAGATTGAAATTCTTGTCACCCAACACTTACCTTCCTCTGTTCCCTTTGTTCTCAGCTCCTTCCTGGAGATTCCTTGCCTCCCCCAGGAGCTGTAGTTCAAAGCTTCTCTACTCTCTCCTAGGCCTCCCTTGAGTGGAGTTCCTGCTTGTGACTCCTTCTTTTCTTCCTTCCCCTTAGAGCTATCTGCTGTATCTATCTTTATGCCTATCTTCTTGGGCCTATATATTGTCACTCTGTTCTCCTTCTCAATTCCCCTAGGAGCTACCTGCTAAACCCAACAGCTTCCTAACACCCTTCTGGGCCTCTACAGTACTGGAACCCTCCTTCTGGTGGAATTTCTGTTTGAGACCCTGTCCCTTTTGGAAGTCCTGCAGCTTCTCTATGCCCTCCTGGGCCTATATGATATTGAAATCCTTCCTTGGTTGGAGGTTCTACTTGTGATCCTCATCCTCATGGCAACCCTGTTCTCTGTCTCTTAGTTCTCTCCTGGAGCTTACTGGAACCTTCCCTTGGGTGGAGTTCAGTTTTCAACCCTTTCTCCTTTTCTTTTTAGACTCAGTTTCCTCCTCAGACTGAGAGACTTCATTAAAGCCTCATTGTGTTACTGCAAACAGTTTGGCCTCAGGACTGCTTGCTTGCTCAATGGCCCAAAATGGCACACTTAATTCCCAAGTTCTTGCATATAGTAATAACTTCTGGTATTGTACAAATGATTCCAAAGTCTCTCATATCTAAATAGTCTTTGCTTTGTACTTTCAAAAGTCTCTTATCTCTAATTTTTTTCTACTTTCCACTCTTGAAAATATTTTATCTCTGTGATTTCTTTGCTCTCTGCTCTCAAGAAATCTAAAATCATTGTATAAATTTTTTTTATCTCAGGATTTGTCAGTTCATTGAGTATGATTTAAAAAATCTGTAACAAAAAGCTAGTTTAAAACCTGTAACAAAAGGTTGATATTTTAAAAATCTATACATAGGTAAATCTTTTTTTTTTAATTTTTATTTTGCAGTACAATTCAGCTTTACATATCAGCCACGGATTCCCTTGTTCTCCCCCCTCTGGCCCCCCTCACCTTCCTCCCAGCCTACCCCCCATTCCCACCTCCTCCAGAGCAAAGCCTCCCCCGCGGACTGAGATCAACCTGGTAGACTCAGTCCAGGCAGGTCCAGTCCCCTCCTCCCAGGCCGAGCCAAGCGACCCTATATAGGCCCCAGGTTTCAAACAGCCAACTCATGCAATGAGCACAGGACCCGGTCCCACTGCTTGGGTGCCTCCCAAACAGATCAAGCCAATCAACTGTCTCACCCATTCAGAGGACCTGATCCAGTTGGTGACCCCTCAGCCATTGGTTCATAGTTCACGTGTTTCCATTCATTTGGCTATTTGTCCCTGTGCTTTATCCAACCTTGGTCTCAACAATTCTCGCTCATATAAACCCTCCTCATTCTCGCCAATTGGACTCCCAGAGCTCCACCCAGGGCCTAGCCATGGATCTCTGCATTCAGATCCCTCTGTAGTTGGATGGGGTTTCTAGCATGACGATTAGGGTGTTTGGCCATCCCATCACCAGAAGAGGTCAGTTTGGGCTGTCTCTTGACCATTGCCAGCAGTCTGTTGTGGGGGTATCTTTGTGGATTTCTGTGGACCTCTTAAGCACTTTGCTTCTTCCTGTTCTCATGTGGTCTTCATTTACCATGGTCTCCTATTCCTTGTTCTCCCTCTCTGTTGTTGATCCAGCTGGGATCTCCCGCTCCCCCAAGCTCTCTTTCCCTCGATCCTCGCCCTTCATTACCCCCACTCATGTCCAGGCTGTTGATGTAGATCTCTTCCATTTATCCGTCATTGGGCAATCCCCATGTCTTTCTTGGGGACCTGTTTTCCAGGTAGCCTCCCTGGTGATGTGAGTAGCAGTCCAGTCATCCTTGTTCCACATCTAGTATCCTCCTATGAGTGATTTCATACCATGTTTGTCTTTCTGAGTCTGGGTTACCTCACTCAGGATGATTTTTTTCTAGATCCATCCATTTGCCTGCAAACCTCATGATGTCATTGTTTTTCTCTGCTGAGTAGTATTCCATTGTGTATATGTACCACATTTTGTTTATCCATTCTTCAGTTGAAGGGCATCTAGGTTGTTTCCATGTTCTGGCTATTACAAATAATGCTGATATGAACATAGCTGAACAAGTGCTCTTGTGGTTTGATTGAGCATTCCTTGGGTATATGCCCAAGAGTGGTATAGCTGGATCTTGGGGGAGATTGATTCCCAATTTTCTAAGAAAGCGCCATATTGATTTCCAAAGTGGTTGTACAAGCTTGCATTCCCACCAGCAGTGGAGGAGAGTTCCCCTAGCTCCACATCCTCTCCAGCATAAGGTGTCTTCAGTGTTTTTGATCTTAGCCATTCTGACAGGCATAAGGTGGTATCTCAGAGTTGTTTTGATTTGCATTTCCTTGATGATTAGGGATGTTGAGCAATTCCTTAAATGTCTTTCAGCCATTTGAGTTTCCTCTGTTGAGAATTCTCTGTTTAGTTCTATAGCCCATTTCTTAATTGGACTGTTGGGCATTTTGATGTCTAATTTCTTGAGTTCCTTATATATTCTGGATATC